GGAGGTTTTCACAACATGGACAGGGTCCCAGATAATCCCATCTAGGCTCCCTTTTACACCAGAAGGTGGACAAGATGATTTTCCCAGGCCCTTTCCAACTTGAGTTGTCCTACAATTCTATGTTCAGGTTTATATCTCATTATTTCAGACAAACCTGTTAGCAGCTCCTAAGTGGATGACTTTGAACGTTCAAGCTACTTATGCTTCACTTACCTTCCCAAACTTCATTTCTTCTCCCCAAATGTCCTGTCAAATTTTAGTAGCATCTATGATTTCATACACTAAGAACTCCACACAGAAACCCTGTGTAACCACGTAAATAAGTTAATTAATGCAATTATAGTATAAACACATACAGCAAAACCATAAGACTGATTGCAAAGTGACCTGTGCATAAGGGAGGCACATATGATGTAGCAAGCTCGTTACTAGCCTGACCCTTGTGTTAATCCTGTCATCGCCATCTTAACAAACCTGATCTCATTATCACTGTAACTCTTTTATTCAATATGGACTATCTATCTAGACTTCCTCTGTTTGAAAAAAAAATCCCTGTGAAAGAATCAAAACATTTATCAAAGGATAAACCCACATTGCATTTTATCCTGTTTTCTTCTACCTTTTTGCTTATTTTCTTCAAAATCTATTCTAAAGAAGTCAGATACAGATAGCATGTGCAGTGACAGGTCTGCACTTTTTCCAAGGGAGTTTCCACTTTCCTAGCAGGCATCCTACATTTAATATTTTACAGACATAATGCACAATCTCCAATTCAACACATCTATTTATATCATATGAACAACTGTTACCGGATTTGCAACTCCATGCACAGGTTTTCCAGTGTTGTCAGATTAAATTGTTCAACTTCCCCACCCTGAGTAAACTAAATACAGTTTGTTCATGTATTTGACCAATAATTTTCACACTTTCCCTACTTTTTAACTGCCATATAGAAAACAGAGACTTAATGAAAACCAAATTAGAATATTTGCTGAAATTTATGCAATCTTAAGATTATCTCTAATTTATTACCCACTTTTGCTGTACAAAGGTGTCACTTCATCCTCTTTGCTCTTTTAAAGAACTCCTTACCATTTAATTTTTTTTGTAGAACATAACCTAGCTAGTACTCTAGCAAATGTCACCTTATATTTTTCTGAACTGTAAATGTAGCATACAAGGTTCTAAAAATAAGTAGTTTTAGTAAAGATGTAAAGTTGGGGGGGGATGAGGTGGCTAAAACCTCCATATAATCTGATCTAAAGTTTACTCAACCAGTGTTTTCTGCCTTCTCACTTTAGAGTTTAGATCAAAAATTGTGCTTAGAACTTGGGGCAACAGTCGTTTACTTAAGTTTTAGTGCGATCATCTAATGCTTCTAACACAAGTCCTGTTATAAAGTATCAATTATTCAAAGAACAAAAAGTAGTAGTAATCTTGGAATTCTTTTGCTTTCTACAGTAATTCTGCTACAACTCCCAAAATTCTAGGATACAGATAACTGGTACTATTAATAGCAGTAACATCTGATCATACACCAATATACAGGAAATTATGTTTCCCATAGTCTATAACAACACTCCTCAGAAAACTCTGTCTCAGAAGAGAAGCTTGATCTTTGGAGCCCAGAGCAGACTTTACTGTTATGCCAATTCCCTCTGCTTTTTCCAGAGCTGGCTTCCAGCACTCTGATTTTACTGCATACATACAGTGTAAGACAGTGAGGAAATTAAGGGATTCCTTTAGAAACAAAAAGCTCCTAAAACCACTCACTGGAACAGCTGACACACACACTCTCACTTCTAAGTTGCTGGGGGTTGATTTATTTAAGTAGGTAAGGGTATTTTCCCTACCAGGTGAAACACCAAGATTTAAAGCTGTAATTTCTTAAAAGTTGAATGCTTCATTAGCTTATAAGACCACCTCAGCGCTAGTCTGTGCTCCCTTCTTCTAAAGCAACACAGCCTGCAGCACCTGTATTCCTGTCTGCTCCAGTATTCCATCATGCTTCTGTTTCAACACCTTCGACCAATTTGTTCATTTTGTTTGCCAGATTCCCCCATACCAACACACAAGCTTGCAGCTCCAAGAACTCACACAGTTTTTCAGCTTGATTAGATACACCTTTCTAGTTACTTTTATTGCCTATACAAAGACCACTCCCAGCTTGTTAGTGGTACCTTTAAACTACGCTCCCGATTCCCGAGCAGGATAACCCCCTTATACCAGCCAACTGTGACTGGTAAGAAGGGCAGGGGCACGGCACATGACAGACACCCTGCTCCTTCTGAAACACAAGAAGTTCCACCTCAACAGCAGGAACAACTTCTTTACACTGAGGGCGGCAGAGCACGGGAACAGGTTGCCCAGGGAGGGCGTGGATTCTCCCTCTCTGTAGGCGTTTAAAACCCACCTGGACGCGTTCCTGTGTCACCTGCTCGAGGTGACCCTGCTTTGGCAGGAGGGGGTTGGCCTGGATGATCTCCAGAGGTCCCTTCCAACCCAAACAATTCCGTGATTCTACGAGGACGACTCTATTTTAGAAAGAGAAACTAAAGACCGGCCAGAACCGCCCCTATTCTAGCGTGCACGAAGCTCCCCAGCCCGCCGGGGCCGCCCACAGCCGCCGTGCCCCGGCGGCCTCGCCGCTCCCCGCCCCGCACCAGGACCCACCTCTCCAGGCCCGGCCGGGCCGGCCGGGTCAGCGGCGGGCGCTCGGCTCGGCGGGGAGGCAGCGCCGCCCGTCGCGGTGTCCCCTCGGGGCCCCTCGGGCGCCCATCGCCCCCCGCCCCGCCGGCCCGGCCGCGGTCTCAGCCTCCGCCACTGCGGGGAATTCCCGGCGCTCGGCGCCGCCCCCGCCGCCTTCGAGGAAGTCAACAAACGCCGCTCCCGGTCCCCGCCAACGGGCGCGCGCCGCTCCCGGAAGGAGAGAGGCGGCCCCACCGCCTGACTGGGAGAGGGAGGCAGGACTGCAAATCCCGGCGTGCACGCGGGCCGGCTCCCGGCACAGCCGAGCGCCTCGGGAAGCCAAGCCCAGGGCTGGCTCCGCCCCGCCGGGGGTGGTGGCTGGTGCCGCCCCCGAGCGGGCTCCGCCACCCTTCTGCCTGGGAGGCGCGAGGGCGTGCTTTGTGTCGGCGTTCCACCTGCAGCGCTGTCGAGGAATTGTTAGGGGTGGAAGGGACCTCTGGAGATCATCCAGTCCAGCCCTCCTGCCAAGGCAGGGTCACCTCGAGCAGGTGACACAGGAACGCGTCCAGGTGGTTTTTTAATATCTCCAGAGGGAGAGTCCCCGCCCTCCCTGGGCAGCCTGTTCCGGTGCTCTGCCACCCTCAAGGTGAAGGAGTTCTTCCTCCAGTTGAGGTGGAACTTCTTGCGTTTTAGTTTATGGCCGTTGCTCCTCATCCTGTTGCTGGGCAGCACCACAAAGTGTCTGAACAATCCTCTTGGCACCTCCCTTTGAGATATATTTATATGCATTAATGAGATCACTTCTCAGTCTTGTCTTCTCTAAACTAAACAGGCCCAGCTCCCACACTCTCTCTTCGTAAGAGAGATGTTCCAGGCCCCTAATCATCTTTGTGGCCCCTCTCTGGACCCTCTCCAGTTGCTTCTTGTCTTTGTGGTACTGAGGAACCCAGAACTGAGCACAGTACTCCACTCTCCTCTTACAAGGAGGAGACAGTGCTGCCTGTCAGCACCCGCTCTTCACTGGCACTGCTGGGCATCAACACAAGGAGATAGTGGCTAAAAACCCACCCTTCTCCCCTTTCCGAGGTGTACTGAACTCCCCACTACCATCCAAAATAAGGCCCTAGCAAAGCAATAAAGATCAGTGACTTTTAGTGGGAGTGGCCCCCAGCTCGCTCCGAGAGCTCCTCAACAGAGGAGCCCATCCATTTTACATTCTTCTAACTCCAGCTTCTTGAGAAGTTACAGCTGCAAGCCACAGTGTAGCATTTTACATTCATATTCCTTTATTGGGGGGGGGGGGGTGTTTTTCCTGTTTGTTTGTTGGGATTTTTTTCCCCATAAGCCAGAGGCAGAGGTGAAAGGCAGTCAATACTCTGTTGCTACACCAGCGTGACAAGATCACCGCATGAAGCCTCCTCTGCCGGAAACACAGCTTTTGTTCTTCAGCCAGGGTCAAAGCGAAGTGAGGATAAATCTAAATCGCAGATTAGGACCTCTGTTATATGGAATAAAAAAAAGCTGATTCAACAAGTCTAATGTAGATCCACTGGGGAGAGCAGCTGTGCTGTTCAAGGTTAATTTAAAAATAACAGGAGTTTCCTTTATGGCTAAAAAAACAAGCAGTTTGCTTTTATGCTGTGAGAGTTCTTCAGCCAAGTCCCAAAGGGCTTTTGGCAACTGTGCCACAAAGTCAGCTGGAGCAAGGGAAGTGTACTAGCATGCCAAATTGATCTATATATGGAAAAATATTGCAATATTGTGTATTCTTTAAATACTTAAAGACCAAATGGAAACAGGACCCCTGCTGAGGGTAGGGAATTGTTATTTGGACAAGAGTCTCATTTAAAAAACAAAACCACAAGTTCTCCATAAATCATGTTCACAGATCTCAAAACAACTTTTAAAAAAGTTTTTCAACATACTACCATTATTATGATTTTCACCAGAATTTAGGTTACATACAAACTTTGTTTTGTTTTGGTTTGGTTTGGTTTGGGTTTTTTTAATAAGCCAAAATAGTACAATGCTGTTTTTTACTCTATTTAAAATCCTTCTTACCAAAAGAAGCATCCTTCTGTTGAAGTCCAAAAAGTACTATGTCCAAACTAACACCTCCTTGTAATAACTAATATGGCATGGATACAAATGTGTTTGTATGTTATTAAGTTACAGAACAGAGGGTTTACTACATAAATTAACATTGATTTGAAACAGTGCCATTATGAAATTCAGAAGGAAAGCACATAAGGATTTGGGCTATCAAATATGTCTGCTGTTTTGTGAATAGCATTCATAGACTAATTATCACATTTATTTTTAAATGTGTATTTAATTGCTAATATTTTTCCCATTAAAAATTACAGTTGGGATCATCTCTACAGAGCAGTTAAACAAAAAATGGCCCCAAACAATGTTTAGTATTGTAAAACCTGGTGCTGCACATTTAAAACCAGCTTAAAGACAGGAATATTAAAATTAATGTCAGAATTTTTCCCATAGTAGAGAGTCTGTTTTGTCTGCTTATTTTTTTTTCTTTGAGATGTGTAATATTTAGGTGGACAACAGTTCATGGTGTCAGATATCTTTTCAGAAAAAACAGATACTTTGACTTCTGAAGCAATAAAAATCAATTTATCACCCCATTTATACAGAAAGTACTAAAACAGGGTATGGATTAAAAAGTTCATTATAAAATGTAAAAACATATAGTTCAGCTGCATATGGGCATACATTGTTGTGTTAAACATCTATGGAATAAAAAAAAAGAATAAATAAAAAAGATAATGAAACATACCATTAGTTTGACAGATTTTTCATGTAACACCATCATGTTGCCACACAGCTGTTTGTAAGTTGTCCAGCCTAGATCTTGGAAGCTACCAAGAATTGTCATCTAATTAGCAAGACATTTCTCTGTACTTCAGTTTGACATCCTAATCCTAGCACATGTTAAGCACATACAATTGAAATATATTGCGGGCACAAGCATAAGCCTGCAGAACTAGAGTATTGAACTTTTAAAACAAACCAAGAAAACCCCACCAAAACCGAATCCCAACTCTTTTCAAACTTTTGCAAACGATTCAGCACAACAGATGGCCACAAGGATGTGTGCCAGAACATCCGGAGCCAAATGGTGTATCTTTAACTGAGACTAGTAACTTCTCGGGACTAAATACATTCCAGTTTCATGACGTATCAGAGAGGTGTGTTCCTCAAAGGAACTGATTCCACAGTTTGGTTTTCAGATTTAAGACGATGTTTTACTACAAAAGAGAAAAGTTAAAAATTCTATCATGAAAAAACCCCCACAGATCAGCAATTAAATAAGCTATATCAAACCAATTCACATCAGATTTTCATCTAGAAAATTTTAAATAGAAGATAAAGGATTCAGAAATGTTAAGGCCCCAGACAATAGTTAAGTAACTCTGATGCATTAGAAGTATGAGCGTAGAACAGCTTATTCCCTGTTCTCTGTTGAATTCTCTTGACTATTCCTATTATGTGTGATTTAAATAATGTATAATTAGAAGGACACAAAATTTTAATTGTATACAATTAGAATAGAATGAACTTGATATAAAAATAAGCATTCTATGAACCATATTACATTAGATTTCACTTTGGCAGGTGCAAAGGCTGTTTTAAACACTCCCATTTATTCATTCAGTGCAAATCCTTGCAAATAAAAAGACAAGTCATAGTTGCTCTCCTCAGATCCTTTCCTGTGCTTGATGTTGTACAGAAGCAACACAAAGATCATAAAACACGTCCTGCCCAAAGGTAATGCCTTAGCAGTCTTTATGTTATCTTTACAATCCTTCTGTACCAATCAAGAGAGGACACAAAGCTGCATTACAGTAAAACTTTGGAAGTACCAAATATAAATATATGTAATTAAAATCCTTCTTGTGTATTTCTCTAGACTCTTGATATAGGACAAGTAACATTTAAATACAAAGGGCATTTTAGGAGTTTCACTTACAGATTAATGCTTCTGTATTATATTAAGCACAACCTCTTCTACAAGTGACTCTTTTTCAAGATACATCACTCAAACTGAAGTACTGAATATAGTTTTCGAAGTTACAGAACACCTTTTCTTCAAATATCCATTAAACTGAAGCTATTTCTACAATATTGTTTCACCAATTCATCAAGGATCTTCAGGCTACTCAACAGGAATCTGCAACAAATGAAGTAAAGTATTTTAGAGAGAAATAACATATACACAGACCTATGAAAAACAGCAAGCAAACCACTCCATTAATCCTTCAAATGATGTTAAGAGTGGAAGTACAGAATTTTCCTGTCTACAGAGTATGTCTTATGAAGAGACAGATGGGAACCTAGCTCCACACATGTTGAATGTGGTAACCAAAATCAGAACTTCAACCGTCACGGATCTGTGTTGTGGTTTAACTGCAGCCACCAACCAAGTAATACACAACTGCTTGCTCACTCCCCCACCAGTGAATCAAGGTAAGAACTGGAAAGGTAAAAGCTAGAAAACTCATGGGTTGAGATAAAGACAGTTTAATAGGGAAAGCAAAAGCTGCTCACAGAAACAAAGCAAAACAAGGAATTAATTCACTGCTTCTCATGGGCAGAAAGGTGTTCAGACATCTCCTGGAAAGCAAGGCTCCATCACACTTAATGGCAGCTTGGGAAAATGAATGCCATCACTCCAAACAAACATCCTCCCCTTTCTCCTGTCCCTGCCGCTTTATATACTGAACATGGTGTCATATTGTATGGAATATCCCTTTGGTCAGTTGGGGTCACCTGCCCTGCCTGTGTCTCCTCCCAATTTCCCATCCACTCTCAGTCTTCTCACCAGTGTGACAGTATAACCAGCGGAAAAGGCCTTGTCTCATGTAAGCACTGCTCAGCAATAACAAAACCATGCCTGTGTTATCAATACTGTTTCCAGCACAAATCCAGAACATAGCCCATATAAGCCACTGTGAAGAAAATTAACTCTATCCTAGCCAAAACCAGCATAGCCTGTTCAAAGTCAGTAGCTAGCAGTAAAGACATAAAAAATGGAAAAAAAACCAAACCCCAAACACTTTACAGTGTGATTTCTGAAGTCCACTGTTTACAGATTTATAACCAATCAAGGCCTTTATCAGACATGAAAAAAGAGTCCATGTAGTAATGCACTCTGGAAAACTGGGCTATGCAAAATCATTGTAACAATCCACCCTTTGCCAAAATTGCTAAACTTTGTACGATGACAAGACTGGTGGTTTTTTACTGATCTATCTTGGCAGACAGCAGAACATACTGGAAGGTAAATCTCCATGGTTTTGGTGATTCTGGCAGGAAGCTGGAGCTTGTTCTGTCCTGGCTAATATTACAGGCCCTCCTTAAGAAGGATACGAAAGGAAGGCTTTGATAACACAAAAGCTAAAAACTAAAAAAGATAAGTCTCTATTGGGGAAATGATTTAGGATTTGTTTATACTTCATTACTTTATTACAATTTTTGTTAATAATTAAAATTCAGAAGAATAACGGGGTAATTTTATGACTGGCAAAGAGCAAGTGAAGAGTAAGAACAAAAGAAAAGCAAAGCCCACCTTTATTTTGTTATCAAAAGGGGTATGTTTCCCTCAGTTAATTATGAGGCATTCCCAAAGAAAACTATGAATGAAAAAGACTCAGTACTGTGTGAGGGACAGATGTGGGTGACGCTTCCAGTCAACCAAATGTTTTATGGACACTATAGCAAAAGAACATCTTTATTTTGAACCTTACAGTATATAAAATCTCCAAATGACCTTGGAGAATAATTTCTAAAGACTTAGGAAAAAAGGACTTGAGAAAGAGCTGTAAAGCTGGTTTTCACAAGGGAGGGCTTGTTGACTTGGGCGCCAGTGGGTCCTGTGGTGGAAAAGGTTATGAAGGCATGTTTCTGACTAATAACTGTCCTACGCAGCTGCCAGTGAAGAAGATGAAGCTCCAAGCTGAAAAGCTGACAGGACCCGAGCCTGCTGCCCCGATCGACAGCCGGGTCAGGTCGCCTCACGCTGCATTTTCCCTCAGGCCTGCGAGCTCCAGCCGCTGCCGGCCGACGGGCGCTTCCAGACGGCACCGGCGGGCCCGTAACAGCTTAGGAAATGCCCGCAAAGGCCGGGGCAGCGGCTGAAGCCCCGGGTCGGCGGGGCGCAGGAGCGGGGGGCACAGCGGCGCTGCCCAGCCCCGCTGGCACTCGACTGGAAGCGCCGTCGGGCGGGCGGAGGGCGCCGCCGCTGCGCCCCTTCCCTTCAGCCCGGGCTGGTTCCGAGGCTCCGCTGTCCGGCGGCGCGGGGAGCAGGACCGGGATGCAGGGCAGCGGTGCCCGGTGTGCCCGTCAGCCGGGCGGATCGAGGGCTCCGGCCGCGGAAAGGGAGGGTGGTGGCGCCGCCATTCCCCCGCCTCCCCTCGCTTCAGGCGCCCGCGAACGCTCGGGTGCGGCTTTCCGTGAGGTGATGGGCGCTGCAGAAATACCGCAGGTACCGCGCCCGCTCCGGTTCACTCCGAAAGCAGCAGCTCTGAAAGAAGGTCAGCCCCGGCCGAGCAGGCGGAAAGGGGCCGGCTCTGACCGTCACCCGCTCCCCGCGGCCGCCCCGGGCGCCCTCCCTGCCCTGAGGGCTCGTCGCTAAAGCCTCCCTTCATTCCGCTCATCCAGAACCGTAAGACGTTCAAGGAAGGAGTGGTTGAAGATGGGAGCTTAGTGGTTGGGGGGTTTTTTTAGGGTTTTTCTTCTTCTTCTTTCTTTTTTTTTTTTTTTTTTTTTTTTTTTTACTAGCCTTAATAGCAAGCTCCTCGGAAGATCTGAAGAATATTTTTTAATCACAATAGATCCATGTATCTTCCACGGTTCAAATGCTGTTGCTTTGGAACCCACATTAGTTGAAATGGTGAATTCTTGCAAAGAACAGGTGCTTTGGCAGAAGAAAACTTAAGTCCTATTAGGAAGAAAATACTTTAAAGAGGCTAAAAATATAAAATACATGAGTTTGAGCTTTCATTGCCATCTGTAGCTTGGGTATTTCGAGTGGGTTTTGGCTGACAAAATCAGTGGCAAACCTTCCACTTCATTCAGCTGAGCTAAATTTCTTTTGCTGTCCCCTTAATGCCTATAGATTTTGAAATGCTAAATTGTTTTGTATGTTAAAATTGAACATTTCTTGTAGACAAATAATATTTGTAGATATTTCTACTTTGTCCTTTCTCTGCTTTGAAATTTAAAACAAAAAATTAGTCCCTAATTGCATTTGGGAAACTTCGCTAACTTTTTATTCTCTGTAGCTAAAATATGTCTATTGGGTTTGTTCCGTGTATCAAAAGAAAGAACTGTTTGTTTGAACCTTTGTACAGTTTTACGAATGTCTGGAGAAACTCTTGGACGTTATATTTCGACTTTTGTGTGATGTTGCCAGGACGTAAATATGCGTGTGAATGAGAAGAGAAAGGAAACGGAAAGAGGTCTGTCCAGAACTAATTTGGTGGTAAACACGGTGCTTTAGAGTGGTCACTCATTTTTATAAAGGAAACACTGTTCTGAAAGAGCATGTAGTCAACAAAATGCATTAACTTCGAAGCACTACAACATTGCCATTCCAAACATGGCAATTTATTGCCATAAACTTTTATTACAGTTTTTGGAGAAATACAAGGTTGAAATGTTCAGGACTTGTAGCTTTCTGAAAACGTTAAATTAACTGGATTCAAAAACTACTGTGTCCTGAGCCATAAGCACTGCCTTCGCTTGTGGAATGCTCTGAACTAGCTGGTGCCTAATGTTTTGTTACTCTCCAGCAGTATATAATCAAGGTGTTTGAGACAGAGAGATCTGTTGACTGTCAGGGCAATGTGTTCTGGTAGCATTTCAGCTGAGCAAAGAGAATTGGTCCTGAGCACACTTAACTCATTCCTGTTAGTTGCAACAAGTTTGAACTTCCATATGCTAATATGATAAAAGGAGTTAAAATTCCATTACCCTTTTCCGACTAAGCTTTTAAATTTTACCTTGGTATTAATCCCAAACTGCTCATCTTTCACTTGTGAGTATTTAGATTGGAAATTTAGCTGCTTTTGTAGTAGAGGTCTTCCGTACTTGCTCAAATACAGGCTTTTCCACTGTTTGGCTGTTTCTTTATTAATTTCTTGTACAAATCTTAGTGAAATACATTAAGAAAGCGAAGGGAAAGGGAAAGAATTTGTGGGGTTTATTTTGTTATTTTGTTTGTTTGTTTGTTTTTCCTCTTTTTTTTTTTTTTTTAGCAGGGGAGGAAGAGTTGTTTTGTGGGGAACAGGCTATAGGAAGAAAATGTTTGTATTCCTTATTCACAGAAGTTATTAAGCGGTACTGTGATAAATAGCTAATTTGATACTATAAGAAGAATGAGTGAGTCATTTTCTGCTGAGATAGTTACATAAATTAGACACTGGCTTAATAAGCCTCCATTTCAGTGAAACACACTGTAAATTCTTTGTATTCTTGGGTCTTCCCTAACCAATGGAACTCTTTTTTTCCAACAGATTCAATATTTTAAATATCTTCGCTGAGTCAAGAAAATGGTGACTCCTCATTAATTTTATTTTGATCTTTTTCTTTTCTTTTTCTTGCATACATGTACCAATGATGTCATATTCTGCAGTTAAACCCCTTAAAACAGTCCTGGGTTCAAGTTCTGCCTAACGTGCTCCCTAATCACTGCACTGACCTGGTAATGGCAGGGGTCTTTGCTGTCATACTTGATCTCATTTTCAAGCATCAAAGCAATTCATTTTTAAGAGGACTCCCTTCTTCCCTTTATGCAATATTCTGATTTTACAAATTAAAATTAAAAAATATGTTGAGGTATAGGCATGCTTCTGTCATAAAAGAAAACAGACCTGGTTTTGTAAACTAAAAAATGAGTGAAGATAGGAGGTTATGTTATGATTTTGTTGTTGAAATGTCATTAATGTGCATACAATTAATTATGCATCTTAAATATCTGATACTCTTTTCAATGTAAGAACTATGGAGAAATGAATACCTCAAGGGATGTATTGAAAAATATATCTTACATAATCCTACTTTTTCTTGGCAACATTTCTTTGTCTCTCTTTTTTCTTCTCCCTTCTTCATAAGGGGATAGAGAAGTAAGTAGCTGAAGTGATCTGTTGTGTATCTTCTGGCTGACAGTGTGCTGGTATCCTTGTTAAGTGTTAAGGTAAAATGCTTTTGTTTCAAGGTGTTACTTTTAGATCATAAAAAGAATTAAAAATAACTTTACTGATAAGTAAATATTCCTTGAAAAAATCTGCTGCGTTGGTTGTTATAACTTCAGGGTTTTTTAAAAACAATTAGGATAAAACCAGTTTGACACTTTTCAATGGAGGATTAGCAAAACTTTGACTTTCCTATGGCTGAAAAAAAAGAAAATTTTATCTAGATAAAGTGTGGGTTTGTAGTGAAAATGCAAAATGTATAAAACAGGAACTGTTTTCAAGGGATGATGCTATACAAGTTTATACAGCTCAGCCATGGTACTGCAATGTGTATACTCATCTATGATTTAATAAGTGCTTGATTTCTGACAGGTATCTTCCTGAAGAGACTCCATAAAAGTGGAAGTAATTATATCTGTCTAGAGCTTCCTCTAGGAAGTAGTTCTGGGAAGAGTGTGCAGATAGCCAAGATAAGATTACAGGTGTTATAATCCTGTTTTTTTGGTCATCTTCGTTTTTGTTGGGACATGCGCATACTTACTTTGTATTATGTGCAGAAATATTTTAGATGTGTTCTTTTTCTCAAGTGTATGAAAAATAAAAACTAGTTGCAAAAACCGCAATATTATTTCAATCACTGTTGAATCTGTGCTCTGTTATTGGGGGTAAGTTAATTTATGTCTAATTTTCAGCATCAGTGATTTTTTTTTTTTTATTAGACGGTTCTTGTCTTTAGGACAAGAGGGTACAGTCTTAAGCTGTGCCAGGGAAGGTTGAGGTTGAATATTAGGAAGAAATTTTTTATAGAGAGAGTAATCAGGCGTTGGAATGGGCTACCCAGGGTGGATTCACCATCCCTGGAGGTTTTTAAGATGAGACTGAATGTGGCACTTCGTGCCATGGTCTGGTAACCACGGCAGTGTTGGATCAAGGGTTGGATTTGATGATCTCGGAGGTCTTTTACAACCCTGTTGATGCTATGATTCATGTTGTCTCCATTGATAACTATTTAACTTTACTTTCTAGTATCAGTTGCCTTTGAGCAAAGATGACTTTTCTGATAATCTAAGACTGATTTTTAGGTATACAGAAACAAGAGAAACAGGCAAGCCGCTCTATCCTTCCAAGAACGCAAAATCTGACCTGACCTCCCCATCACACCCCTGCATTTTTCAAAGCTTCCTGTTCCTCAGGGCTTTCTAGTAGTTTTACTCCCTTGGAAACCAAGCCATTATCTTGCCCACAAATTAATATGTTGAACTCCTGCAAACCTTTCTTCAATGCTCTCTAGCAGACAACTGTTCTTCTGTCCATTTCTCTGGAGAACCTCACCCCCAGCACTCCTGTCTCTTACACAGTGCCTACAGCACGGCTTTTCATAGTGCTGCAGACAAATCCTATGCCCTACCTTACGGTTCCCAAGCCTGTTTGCATTGATTCCAAACAGCTGCAGCACTTGGAGCAAAGGTTAGCTCTTGCTTGCCAGTTGTAACATTGACAGAATGCGTAGCCCTTTGCTTTGGAACAGGAAGGCTTTCTAATTCCTGTTGTGAATTTTGCTGTTGTAACCATGTTAAGAATGTAGAAAATACAAAACGTGCATATGGTGTGCTATTCCAGTGGAAGTTCTTTCCACTGGAGTTTTACAACCATTATTTATTTTAGGGCAGGATGATCGCCCAACTGAGCAAAACTGCACAACACTGATATCTGTGTAGTACTGTTGGATTTTAGTATCAACAGGTCCTTCAAATCCATGGTAAGGACTTATGAATGTCTATAATGACAATCACAATTGGAAATTTGATGAATGAAGGATCTTTGAAGCTTTATTTCTGTATTTTCTGTGTTTTTAAATTATAATAAGCAAATCTATAAAGTAAAAAATGAACAGCTAGTGTGTCCTGCAGGAATAGCAATGAAATGGAAAACTAAATTTGTTAAATGTATCAGATTGGACTTGCTCTCTGTTGGTACAAAGGTTTATCACAAAATTCAGATGAAGTCAATGTGGATTATAATTATTCACCTGTGAGAGCTTTCAAAGTAAGATAAGGACTTTATTTCTTCCTCCTAATGCATTCCATGCAATAGTTGATGGTAGCAGAGATATGGATACATCTCCCAAATAGACTTCCTGTGAAAGCATATTTTCTTTCAGTTACTTTTTAGAGTAGGCTGCCAAACTTTGTTCCAATCCAGTTAAGAGACAGTGCATGACGTATGATCTAGGTGGCTTTGCTGGAGCCATCATGCTGAATTCCTGGTTACTCTTTGTTCCAGACCTTGGGTTGCACCAAAACATATTAACAGTTATTCCAAACTCCTTTAAGGTTGGGAAAATATTACATTGTACACAAATGACTGAAAGAATATTTTCAGATATTAATTACTGTATATATTTGTGCTTAAAGGTAGTTGGAAACTGATTTTGCATATTATATAGGTATTAACAGATAGAAGAATAATTATTCTGAAAATTTTGAGATTTTTCAACAGTTGAAAAGTTAAACCCTGTTTCAGAAGTGGTTTAAAAGATTGATTCAAAAGAAAAATTTAATTACAAAGTAGATTTAAACATTAAAGTTACACACACAGTCTATCTGAAAGTATATGTGTCTACAGCAGTTATAGAAAAGCAAGTAGTGTAACCAAAGCTGTAGGTTCCACTTGGGAAAAAAGAAACTACAGAAATATGACAGAAGTTCCTATGATCACGAAGGAGGAATGTGAAACTGTTACTTATCAAATCTCACAGTACTGAAACTAGATGGCCCTCAATAAGGTAGTAGGAGGTGAATTTAAAACAGACAAGTAAAGTGCTGCTTTATGCAGTAGGCATTGAACTTTTGGAATTTACTGGAGATTGTGGAGTCAGATACTACAAGTAGGTTCAAAAAGAAATTGTTGTCATAAACAAAATAATTACTTAGGAAGAACAGAAGTAGGCAAATGTGTGCTTTCTAGCATCCCTAACCCAACCTTTTTAGGTGCCGTGGGAGTGTGCTGGGAGAAACTGGCTGGATGTGTATGTTCTCCCTACATTGCATTTGCTTTTGCTACTGAAGTACAGTGCTAGGTGGATCTTTTGTCTGACTTAGGAGTTCTTACATATAAAATCTTCCATTTTTCTGCCCAAAATATTTTTCTACTAGCACTTGCTGGCAATCTCAGGAGCTTCCAATTGATAAGAAATCTGAAGTAATTTCTAAATTGCTTGTAGTTATTTTTGGGGGGTGCATTCATTTTTGCCTTTTACAGGCATTCAGAACATCAGTATGTATTTCTTGCCAGTGTATACTAATGAAAATGTCAGATATTTACCATAAAATAAAACTATCTCATGACTATTGCTTTGACTGCTCTTGAGTGCTTG